TACCACCGCCACCACCACCACCCTCTCTCATCAGGGAGAGTATCAAGGTGGAGTCTGCCTCCATGGGAGTGAAAAAGCCTAAACACTTTGTTCATCAGCAGGAACAACAACAACAACAGGTCCCAAGAACACCGTCAGCCGTTACATCCTTAGCAGCGCAGTGTCAGGGATCTTACAGGTCTTGTGGTCATAGGCATAACTCTTCCAAACAGAGTAGTCTGTAAGACGTTGCATAGATGGAGGTTCTTGCTTGGCTATTACATTGAGAGGTGTTTGACTTGCTTTCCTCCTTTACAGCCCCAAGCAGAAGTCACCACTGGCGAGTGCAAACGCTACTGCTACCTTGGAAGGTCCAGGTATACCCTTGTATCCTGCATTTTGTAATTGAATCTACCTAATGAGGGTTCAACTTTGTTGGCGTTTATGAGGGTCACTGTGTTAGGTCAGTTAATCAGTGCATTTCATCCAATGGTAGGATTGTGTGAAGTTATTTGTGGCCAACTTACTTACACAAGGTGTTTGAGCTCTGTGTCGTAAAAGTTAGTAGGTAAAGCCACTTGGGGAATGACATAGCAAGGGTGGTTGAAGTGGCGACTGTTTAGGTGGTGTACTACGCTTACTGTGATTTTGGCCTCATCTCTCACTGAACGGATTTTAACACTGATTGTTTACAACTTACGCAACATGGGAGTGCTTTTTGGAGTAGTTGTGGAGACTGGAAATGCTTCATCAGACCGACCAGCAATCGTTGTTGTTGGCCTTAGAGGCGAGTAACATCAATTCTGGCACAACTGAGGTGATCTACTCGAACACCTCTAGCATGTGTTTGTTCACTTTTGTGCAGGCAGTTGCAATTAGTCTGACGAACCACGGCTCACGTTTGTGATGCTGAAGTTTAGCCCTAAAGGAGATGGAACTGAGGGGCGATTTTGACTAGTAATTCTCCTCCGATTTTGCGTTGTGGCACAATAGGTTGTGGTCACATCAAGCACCCTGCAGGATGCAATTATGTACGTGGCACTAGAGGGGGGCACATGAGGACAGTCTATTAGTACCCTGTTATGCACTTCCCGTTTTTTTTTTGGCCTTTTCAATCGCCACGCAGCGAGTAAGTCAGGTAAGCTTGTCTGCTCCGTGTCAAAGGCACAGCGACCCAATTAGCACAACATGTCACACGCAAACAATCCAACTTGTGCTATTTTAGATGGTGAATCTTTTAAATGTGGATAACAGCCGAGAAAATTTCGCAAACCTTCACTGCATTGGGTGGGTTACTTGGCATGAGGGATGAGAGAATTGTTGGCACTCAAATCCCACCAAGTCATTGTGTGTGACAGGTGGCGAAGGGACCTTGAAAGCTATCCATTTTGTGATGTAAAGTGGTTTTGATCAACAAGCCGAATGGATTAGGGGGTGATTGGTCTCAGTCTATTCGCTTGTCGCCCATGCCACTCCTTTGGATCGCGACTTCCTTTGTGTGGGTGTGGGTGTGTGGTTTGTGGACTGTCTAGTCGATGTGTCAGTAAGAGGTGCTGTTGTAGTGGAGCCAGACAGTCGTTATTCTTCGCTGTTGAATATGTGCACTTCTTGACCTTAGACAATGTGGATGCATGAGGGCTAAGTTGTTCAGTCGTGGAAACGGTCCAGAGGCGTGTTCTCCTTCAAGTTGCGTGCACATTGAGAGTAAAACCAGTGCCAAGAATGAGCAGTGAGAGGTGGAAAGGCGACATCGATGTTATTTTTATGCAATCATGAGTGTGTGTTTATAGTAAATGATATAAGGCAGTTTTAGGATTGCACACACGTCTTCAAAGCACTCAAACGAGGCAACAACTGTTGTATTTATTTAATTTTTCATTTACAAGTAGTGTATGCATTGTGATTGTGGGTTGGAGGTTGTGGAGAGCCTTCGTATGGACGGTCATTTTGCAATGTTTCAGTCCAACGAAAGAAGGCCTCAAAGAATGTGGATCCACCAAAAGTGTTCCCCATCGGCACCACTGGCATAGGGGTATCGGCAGCAGCGTCAACGGCATCACTTCCACCTTGGCAACCACGGAAACCGTGGACAGTTACAGAGTCGCACTGTGAAGAGGATTTGCGTCAAGCATTGTCCTCTGTCGCCGTGGAGAATGAAGTGGGAAGTGGTGGATCGGGTGGTCAGCCTGGACCTCCAACCACGGCTTGGGCTGGGATGTCGAAATCTGGGGCTTCCGCCGTTCCACATTTGGGTGACTTGGAATTCCCGCCGTTGAGCTCAGCTGTTGGTCAGCACTCTGTCAAGCCGGCTTCAGGTGCTGGTGATAGTGCGTTTGATTTGTTGCCAATGTGGTTAATGTTAATAAGGTGAAATCAGTTCTCTGGTTTAAGCCAATTTTCCATACTTGTTAAAAGGCGTTTATGAAATTGCGAAAAGGCATTAGCTGGATTTAAACTGGTCGCAGATAGTTACTTCAAC